TAAGTAATAGTAAAGAAATCGACATTTACATTGAGATTAACGGTACGCTATTCGCAATTCTGTGTAAAGATTGGGCTAGAGATATAGGTAGGTTTAAAGAAATAGGATAAAAGGAGTAGCTGATATTGAAATTTTTTGAAACCAATCACCAATTATCTTTATAACTCCGAGTTTAACCTATTTATAAATAAGTAAATATTTTTTTTTTTAGCAATCCGTACAATTACAAGAAATTTTAGCATAAGCAGATGCAAATGTTTGAATATTTTTAATAAACATATTAACTATTATAAACTTAATAATCATAGGACCCGGCATCATTCAAACATTTGATGGGATTCTCACCCAGCTAAAAAAAGGAACCGTAGGTGTTGTAGTGACTCCAGATAATAGAAGTTTTTCTTCAAACTGTATAAAAAGATCTAAACACTCAATACATCGTATTATCCTTACAAAAAAAAGTTATATTTGTAGTGACCTTAAAATCGTTAGTCAGAATATTTTAACTGTTTCGTGTTTTAAATATTTTGTTATTTCTTTTTTTTGTACTAATATGGTTACTTTGTTCGCTTGTATGCATTTAAAATATTTCAAAGACATTTATTACTTTTATTGAATTCGTTATTTTATAAGAAATAAAAAACTGGTTCAAAAATAGTTGTAACATCAAGAGAATAGATCTTGTGATTGAAGAAAAATAAAACTTGTTGATATTGAAGTTCTGCAACACTTCTAATTCCATTTCTACAAGGAGAATATTTCTATCATTTCATCCATTCGTATTTTGTTAAATTGAGTTGAATTTAGTTATTGGCAATAAAATAAATAAAAATTAAATAAAAAAAAATAATTAATTAATTGAGTTAACAATTAGGACAAGTTTATATATATATATTTTTTTAAAAAAAGATTAACTACAAAATGGTTTAAATCTTTAATGTCAAAGCCGGCATGAAGATTTCGGTTATAGCACTAATTGTTTTTTAAAATTCCAAAATCTACCTCTAATTACAAAATTATAGCTCTCAGCTGAAGAATCCTATAATCAATTGTAGAGAAAGTATCATATATAAAAATGGTATTTTCAATTTATAACTGATAAATAACTTTATTTTTAAAATTAACAGGCAAAAAAATATTTTATATATAGACACCAGAGTTATCTTCAGTCTTGTCATTTATTTGTTTTTCACGTTGAATTGGTTTATTTTCTTTGTGATCACAAGCAATCAATATAAAGCTAATTTTGAATTTTGTCATCACTATCATTATAAACTAGCCTAGTTTTTAAATTAAATGCTTTTCAAATTTTATACTGAGTTATGTTTTATGAATTTAATTGTCTAAATAATCGTTCGAACTAGTTAAAACCGAGACTATTCTCCTGAAATATATATTTGAAACTCAAAATATTGATATTGTTATAGTAATATGGGAAACAATAGTGTTCTCCGCCTATTTTTATCACAAGAATCCAGATTTTAAAATAACAAAAATCTCTATATAAATCAGTGTTGTTAAATGACCTTAAAAAGACTGTAAAATTGACTGAAAATAACCTGACAAACTATTTCAAGCAGATTAATATACTCAGATTACTATTTCTTCTACACAATCTGGGTTCTTTATGTTTATCCTTTTCAATATTTATAACAATCTCCAAGATTACAGTCTCATATTATAATTTAAAAGTGATGACTTCCGTTAATACTTTTCCACCTTTAGCATTAAGTTGATTATTTGCAAGATATAGTGGGTTAACAGGCTCAGACTCAAGCAATCTCAACTCAACCGGCCAAATATATAAAAACAGAAAAATAAGGTTTCTGAAGAATATATGAGCTAGTATCTTGAACACCTGCTAAATCACTAAAACATAATGGTTGAGCAGAAGAAATTTGAGATACAGGAAACGTGCTTCCATTTGAATATTCACCGATGCTTGTAATTTCAACACATGCAAAAAAACTTTCCATGCCAAGGATGAACGATTGGAAATAAAATAAATCGCAGCAAAAGAGAGGAAAAAAATTTTAATTTTGTAATTTTAACAGCAATGTAACATGAAGATTACGAATGCCAAGACAACTAGCTAAAAAAATCAACAGAATTATACAAAAACTAACTTTATTATCACAGAATTTCGCAGAATAAGTGAATATGCAACAATAGAATTTTTCATCACAACAATGAACATTTAATGAACATTTATCATTAATGAATAGTAGTTTAAGAACTGCTATAGCATCGAAATTATATCGAAGACCTCGAAAAGCACGATTTGTATACATGCTCTTTAATCAAATTGGCAAGGATAAAATCGAAAGATTGAAATCATATAATGCCAATTCAATTGCAAGACTAACACGAGCTCAAATTGATGAGATGTGATTGTGTTGGACAGGTGAAAATTTGTCCATACTGTATCCGATTTTCTTAACAAGTGATTTTCAGATGACAATTGGCTAATTTGATCTTATTGGGTGGTCAAATTCAAATATATTATTTGGTTCTTTTTTTAATGATTCATCAGTTAAATTAACAAGCATATGCTATAATCCCTCTCTTCTTAACTCTCTTTTTCTCTCTCGAAGTTGGTTATTTTTAAAGCAGAAATACTGGTTTTTAATTCAAGGTTTTGTTTTGTATGCAGAATTCGACTAGTGCTTTGGAAATTTTCTTGTTACCAAAGTGATAAATTACCAATTTTTTTAAAGGCACATTGCAGTGAGAAAAAAAACTTTGGGGATCTAAAAAAATTGATCACTGCTCATGTCAAAATAAATAGCTTTCGTTGATTGATTCTATTCAGGTACAAACTAACACAAATTTGTGAGAAAAAATATTAAAGATAAAGTAGGAAAAGAATTGGAAAATGATGTGATATTTTGTTCATTATTTGGCTCTGGTTCATTGTAAATGAAAGAGAATGATGATTGGGACTGATAAATGAACATATTTTAGAATATTTTAATAGTTAGTCACATTAGTATCAATATTGAGAATATTATCATAAGGAATCATTCGAACAACTAGTAGAAAAGTGTTTATCTATTCTTAAAACACATAATATTTGGATATTTGAACACCATACAGAACTTGTGACAGTATTTATAGTTTTATTTAATCTAATAGAGTATTCTGTATTGGACTGACGTAAATGGAGCACAATAAACTAGTATCTATTGGTTTCATTCAGATCACTATTTGCAGGTTTATTGCAACAATAATACTTACTTTGATAATTAATTGTGATCCGAAATCTGAAAACAATAGATATTATATAAAATATATATTTATGTTTGTATTATCTTTAAGATCCCTTAACAATTCTGGTTTACGAAATTGCAACTGAACATTAATTCACTTTTAAATTCAAAGAATTTATATTGTGAAATGAGTAAGTGTATATTAGCAATAATTTCTTTGATTAATTGTTATCAGAAACAAAATAAAAATATTATTTACTGTTGAATTATTAAATTTACTTATTCACTGATAATTGATTTTGTGATTACAAATATACGATAAAGCTATATGATAAAAAAAAAAGATATAAGCAATAACTCAGAAATGTTCAAAAATCAAATTTAAAGAGGATAACGAGTGATGTTTTTCAGAGTTACGAATTAATTCCTAATTATTTGCTAAATTCAAATATAGTCCTTTATATAGGTAAACTTAAAAAACTTCTCTTTGCGAGATCAGGATTCTAGGCTTTTACTTTTGATAATTAAACATAATTTTGGTTGAATAAATTCATAACTCTGGTAAACATAATTTTGCCAATAAATGTAAGTTACATGACACTTTTGTAAGGTATGTAAGTGTTATTCATATAAACTCAAAATAACAATTTTTGGGCTAAATTTTATACTACGCTATGATTTGGTTTTAATTGGACATTTGTTTAGCCATTAAGACTGGGTCAAGTTGATGTTAATGCTGGTAGAAATTGTCATATGATTTGGCCAACTTTAATACCTATTTTGTTCAATTTATGTAACACAACCCAAATTTTTTTTTTTAATAACAAAATACAAAAAAAAAGTAAAGATAAATTATACGCGCGCTGCTTTAATAAGTTTCAGATCAATTAGAAATTTGTTGTAGCGAGATTACATTTTTTGTATTTTTTGTTACCTTGTGATTCTCATACGTTATACATATTGATAACCGAAAATTTCAATCTATTATGAAACTTAACGCAAAATTATGTAAATTACAGTATTTGACATCCCTAACCTTAAAAACTACTATACTCAGAGTTTTAATGATTACACCCGGAATTTTTATGAACCTCCAGCTTACTATTTTTAAAACCTATTTTATATTCTTTGCCATTTCTGGAAATGAAATAAAGTAATATGTAGATTACAAACTTTACAATGCTGATAAAATTTAAATAGATTCATTCAATTTTAATATAGTACTTAATTGCAATGAATATTAATTATCAACGCACGTTGTACAAAATTTGCTATTTAAATATGAATTATTTCAATTACAATAGAATAGATTAATTCGATTGTGTATTAATAATTTAATTAAAACTTTAGTTTTAAAGTCAAAAAGAAATAATTCATTTATTCATTATGAAATAAATCTCAAAAAGCTTCTTATTACATTTGGAGTTAGTGTGAATATTAAATATAAATATGTATTATTATTAGCTTATTGATGAACTCTGCATACTAATATTTCTTTGATGCTAACAAATTTATTGGCGTAGCATTTATTACATGTATATAGTCATACGTATAATCAAAGATGTTGCTATTTCTACTCCTATGCTCGTGATTTTCATTGTTTTGGTATATATTTTTGTTTGAAAACTTTTAAACTTTTATTTTGTATTGTTGAAAGAAGGACTTGCATATTGTTATGCTTATATAAATAAAAGATATTACATTTAAAATTAATGGTCGAATTGATTTCAAAAGTGAAATGCCAACAGGAAAAATAAGAATATATTGTTTGGCACTATTGATCTTACAACTTTTTATTCTTACATTCCTTTGCCCAGCTCTTGGTAATATAGATCTTATTATTATATTTTTATATTTAAGCAAACTTGATATTTTTAAGTTCCTTTTGTAATACAGCACTAGCAAAAGTTCTCACATTTGATCAAACTAATGGAAAACTTAACTATAATAACGGGGTTGAATATTTGTAAGACGAACTAATTTTTTAACAAAAGTACTAAAGCAACAAATTTCTTTTTAATAATATAATTAATAGTATGTTATTTTTATAATAGGGTATAAATGTTTTAGATATATAACCCTTACTTGGTTAACAGCTGGTAATAACTTCATTATTTTATTTGAATTTTGAGTAAATGACTTCATACAGTACTATTAATGCCTCAAAAATATGACGTATTTTTTAGCAATTAGTTTTCTTGCAATGTGTTGTTATTGTTTTTTTAATATGAAAGACTTTAGGTACTATATCTACTTTCAATGAATTCTTTAATTGATTTTGTATTTTCTTGAGAAGTAATAGATATTAAAAATTAATAGCACATTTTGTTTTAAAGCTTTAACAATTATTACATCAGTAGCTTGGTTTGTTCTACCAAGTAAGTTTTTAAAACTTTAGAGTGACTAATTAC